GGGTTGTAGCACTGTGGCTGTAAGCCTCTCTTCCTGTCATTCATGCACCTGGCATTCATAGTAATTTCTGGGCCATCACAGCAGAGGAGCCCTATTCCTTCTTAAGCCATGCAGCTCAGTGATCATGTCACTTGTGACCTCCAGGAAAAAGATACCAAAAACAGAGTTAGAAGGGCAAGAGCCTTACAGGGCTAATGCTCGTGCAGGTAAAGTGGAGAGGAAGCAGGAAGAACAGAGAGGATCAGTGGACCCTGATGCTGGTCTGACTATAAAAGAAGAAAGGGTTGGAAGAGAATTGAGTAGAATGAGCTTCAGACTATGGTGCACCTCTGAGAAGGTCTTGGTCAGTCCAGAGGGCCATTCTGGTGCAGATTATTCACAGAACAGTCCCATGTTAGGGAGAAATGGTGAACCCTGAGCTATGGCTTGATGGCGGTTTATCTCCACCAAAACTCACACTGAAGCTTGTGGCCACCTGACCTCAGATTTTCTGGCTTCCAGAATCATGAGCTGAATAAAACTATTTGTCTTCTTTTCCCTCTCCCCTCTCTTTCTCTCTCACTCCCTCCCTTCTTTCCTTCCCTTTTTCTTTTTTGTAGTACTAGGAAATAAACCCAGGGCTTGAACACTGAACTACATCTCCACCTCTTTTTATATCATTTTGAGTCAGGGTCTCAATAAGTCCCTAAATTGCCCAAGCTGGGCTCAAACTTGTGATCCTCCTGCTTCACTCTCCTATAATGCTAGGGTTACAAGCAAGTACCACCATGCTTAGCCAACCCAGTTTTCTTCATAAATTACTTGGCCTTAGGTATTTAGTTACAATAACAGAAAGCAGACTAAGACACCTTGTTCACTGTGTTCTCACTGGTAGCTGCCCAGGAAGCATGTATCCTCAACTCAAACATTGAGATAGAGCCTCAAAGACATCCACAGATCACAGACTGTCTCAGGAGATGGAGGGAATCTCCATGACTGATACCCTGCTTTGGTACCTACTCAGCACAGGGGTCAAGGACGTTGTATTAGTCAACTTCCTGTTACTGAAACAAAATGCCTGACCTGTACAGTTTAAATAAGGAGATGATTTATTTGGCTCACAGTTTCAGAAGGTTTAGTTGATGATCAGCAGGATCCAAGACAGGAACATCACAGTAGAAGGGTGTGGTGGAACAAAGTGGCTCACTTCATAGTGGCCAGGAAGAGCAGCACAGAGGAAAGATACCCGTGAGAGATGAACCCTCCACACTTACTTCCCCCAGCAACCTTCACCATTGGGCCCTACCTTATAGCTGCACATCTAGCTAACAGCATCAGTGGATTAATCCAATAACAAGCATAGCACCCCCATTATTCAACCACCTCTCAGGAGACTTTTAACCCAGCCGATTTGATAAGATTAACTGGCACAGGTTTTAGGGAGTTGTAAAGCAAGATTCAGACCAAGCTACCTGCCTTGGAGCCTGTGTCTTCTTGGACACAAGTTTGCCTTATAAATTTCAATCACAGATGGCAAATAAACATAGAATCCATGATAACCCATATTGACTGGTAGCAGTTGCCTATACTCTGAATTGAAGAGGATTCTAAGAAGTGCTTCTAGATTCAGCAGGAAATTCCATGATTGATTAGTGATTAGTCTATTGTGGGTACAGCAGGGGTGAGTGTATATATGTGTGCCAAGTGTTTGGCATCCTTATGCTAGGAACATATATTTATGGGATGAATGGATGAGTTCTGAATCTCACCACATTCTGCCTAAACTAGGCAACTCCCTTCTCCCAAGTGAGCCTGTTCCTGGCCCTGGAGCCTCAAACATAGGTAGAGCTGTCAGTGACGGAGGAGCTATTGTACACCAGCCACTCTTTTAAGCCCTTCCAATCCATTATCTCACTGGATTCTCACAATTCCCTCCCAAAGAGAGATTATAACACCCATTTTATGCTGAGGAAACTGAGTCCAAGAGGAGATGGATCTGTCCAAGGCCACACAGAAATCAGTAGGACAGCCTATTTCTACATCACTTCCTCATTTTCTCTACTCCACCATTTGTCAAATCAGTGATGGATTTTGTTATTTCTCAAAATCTAGTATAGCAATCGGAGCACTAGTATAGCAATGTTTGGCTATTCATTTGCCAAAGGGAGAGGAAATGAATACCTATTGGTCCTTGGAAAATCCTCTGGAAAGTCCCTGAGAGCTGAATCCACTCCAGAAGTTAAGCCTATGTATTTAGAGGCTGATTTCAGAGCCCACAGCCCCAAAATATAAGCAACACAATTTTATGTCTTACATATTAATTCTTCTATGTACCAGGCACAGCACAGAGCTCTTCACATTCATTAACTTTTTTAATATCCACAAGGGTCATATGAGGAAGTATTTTGTTTGCAAAAGTTGAATCTGAGGCACCGACAGGCGAATGTCCTTGAGGTCACATATAACATGAGTGCAACCAATACAGGTGTTGGCTGCATGTGGAATTGCTTCACCATGTCAGAAGAGCACATTTTTGGGAAAACATGATGAGCACAAGACTGTGAAGGATGCTGAAGGCTCAGGAGGTGGACTGGAATGGTACTTGTTTATAGACCATTTCGTGCTAATTTCCCCTTTTTTCTTATACTGCGTAATTTCCTCTTGGGGGCCCCAAATATCCCTGGTATGTGTAATCTTAGGTGGGCTCTAGGCACCTGGCCCAGCTAGAGTCTCCCTTTTAAGCCTTTGAATCTAGCAGGGAGTGACACAGGGCACAAAAAATGCTTGGGATTCATGCAGGTAGCATAGTAAAGCAGTGGATAACATAATTTCTAGAACAGGTCAGCCTTGCCCAATTCTGGAATCCAGAGTTTACTGGCTATCCGACACTAGGCAAGCTACATCACCTCTCTATGGCTCAGCTTTTAATTTCTATAATGAAGACAACGATTGAAATTACTTCATCACTTACACACTTATAGAAGTATCTGAAGCTAAGAAAGTCCTAGTTTGGTGTGGTTTTTTTGCCTTGTAATTTTATCAGTCTTCAAGAGTTTCCACCTCATTCCTGCCAATTCATTTCCTTTGGAGTATCCAGCTTGCCCTAGAAAAATGAGCCTCCAGCCTTCTTGTGATGCTGTGAGCACCCAATACCTTTCCAACCCACTCTTTCTCTGCTTAATTTCTGTTACCTGCAACTCCAGAATACTTACTGCATTTTAACCCTGTCTCATTGCAAACTGGGACTCTAAAGCCTCTAAGCTATGATCCCCAGCTCCTAGCTAAATTCTGCACCAGATATCCACAATTTTGTGTTCTCTACTAAACAAATGTACCAGTGATAACAAAACCATCCAGGCTGTCTTCTGCAGGTTGGAGAGGGCTTTTTTTTTTTTTTTTGACTGCCTAGTAAACATCATCAAAGATATCCTTTGTTCTATCAGGCATAACAGAACTATCAGGAGCATTATTTGCAATAATCTAATAATGAGCAAGCTAGATCCAAGGGAGGTGAAGAAACTGTCAAGTCACACAACAAGGTCGGATGCTCCTAGCTCAAGTTCCCTCTGCTAAAACATTGGTGGGCGATGAGTTAGGGATAACGCTTGAGTACTGAACTGAAATGCTTCCACTACTTTTTCCCTTTTTAGTTCTTCACTCACTCACTGTGTTTTCAAGTCTAATGCTGCCTCTGAGCCTTTGCACATGCTCTTCTCACTGCCTGGAACTCTGTTTCTCGGCCCACCCTCCCCGCCATGAACACACTTTCCTGAATTCTTTTCCTTTCCCAGCAAGCCCTCCCATCCCCTTCCAAGTCCATTAGCCCTGGCTGATTCCCCTACAGTTACCTCTGTCAACATCTGTCTCTTTCCTTTTAAGAGTCCACTCCATTATTTTTCTGTTTATCTGTTTCTTGCCTGTCTTCCCACTGGACTCTACAGTACCCAAGGACAGGGATTTTATCTGTCTTGTTCTGGCTCAGCACTTGGCATAACATTTGATAAATCAACGACTGCCTGAGTCACCCAGCCAGAAGTGACTTTAACCATTGTTTAATCCATTTGTGCGGCTGTAATAAAACGCCTTACCCTGGCAAGACTTGTAAACAACAGAAATTTATTTTTCACAGTCCTGGACGCTGGGAAATCCAAGCTCAAGGCACTGGCAGTTTGGGTTTCCGGTGGGCCCCTGCATTCCGGTCCACGGATGGCACCTTCTCGCCGTGGGCGAGGCAGCGCTCCCGCATCTCTGTATAAGGGCACTAAGCCCACTCGTGAGGGCTCAGCTCCTGGTGATCTAATCGCCTCCGAACATACGTGGATTGGAGAGCAAGTTTTCAACACGCGGATCTTTTGAATGCCACAGACCATAGTAATCGTCTACTCCCACAGCTGAGGCCCAGGAGGGAACAATGGGTTACGCTGAGTGGAGAAGAGACACCCTCCCCCACGGCCACCTTCATCTGCAAGCCCCGGATTGGGAGTCCCGATGAGAGGAACAGTTGTTGTGGGGAATGACATTGGGACAGAGGCTGACTCCTCACTACCAAATCTAAGAGGCGGGCACTATCACCCTCACCACCACCTCCCCATGTTACAGATAAAGGGACAGGCTCGAGGGAGCCTGTGAGTTGCTGGGAGCAGATGAGAGACTGGCAGGCAGCGACCCGCAGTCGGTGGGCTGAACCCGGCTTCGAGGCTGGCGGGTGGCCGGGGGGTGCGGCGGGCTGCAGGCGGCGGGCGGGACACTGGGCGGGCCGGGGTCCAGCTCCTCCTGGCAGCGG